TTAATTTGCTAGGGCTATGGTCGAAAACTATTTTTTCAAATTAATTTACAATACAAAAATTTCATTCTGCCCCCTTTCTTAACACAAGAAAGATAATTATATTCAGTATTTAATTTTATTAATTAATAACAAAATCACGTAGGTACATAAAAACTAAACATTTTATTTTATAAAAATCGATGAAAAATTAAAGAGTTTATAAAAATATTTCATGTTTTTACCATACAATTACTTGCATGTTTCTTGGTTTTTTTAACAATTTTCAAATCGAATGGCCGACCATATGATATCAGTTATGAATATATCTAAAATGTGATTTCCTTTTCAATAAAGCATTTATATTGAAATTTGTCCATTACTCTTTAGGCAATTTATTGATGAAAAACTGATTTTCTGAAAGAGCCTATATATGGGAGCTAGGATCAATTATAGACCGATCCTATCAAAATTACGTGGAGGGATTTATGTTCATATAGGAGTTAGATATGCAGAATTTCATCATAATGGTAGTGTTTAAGAGGGAACGCCAAGCCACAATTAAGAGCTCCGATTTAATCCATTTTCAAACAACTTCGTCTTTTGTTAAAATGAAATATTTGAGCCTATTTTCATCAAATTATATGGAAAATTGCGACTTGTAGTTTGATTACAAGGTTTACATGGATGGACAGTCGGACGAACATAGCTAAACCACTATATTGCTGTAGGATATACATATGTAGTTAACTTTCTTCTATTTTGAAAGTAGGATCCGAAATGGTTTGTAACTAAAAAAATAAAAAGGATTTCTGTTTTATATAGTTCATTAAAAAAATTTTTTCGACTGTTTTTCCTGGCAAATTAATTGTTTGTTGTGAGAACGGTTGATATATACTTGAACATTTTTAAACATCTATAAAATAGATGTTTATGCATAAAAGTGAGCATTTTAAAAGCTAATGGTTCCTATAATTCAATGTACTTTATTCCAGCATAGCCACAATTTTAGATTTTGGGGAAGGATCCGAGATATCAGAAGTCACGCATAGAGTATGACGTCGAATTAAAAAATGTTCTAAGAGTGAAATATAGCTACAGTCAAGCTATAAATATTGATATATGACATGTTACGATCGGACTTAAAATGGCGGCGTAATATATAAAAAACAAAAAGGGCGGTATTTGTAGGCGTGGTAAAAAAATATTTTTTATATTTTTGGAAATGGTATTAACATATCTTTAATCCTAGGGGGTGACTGACACAACTTTTTTTTTGTCCATAGAGACCGACCCAATCTAATGTGTATGTATCGCCAAACACAAAGCGCACGAGCATATTCATCTTGATCATACCAACTTGAACACGAACAAATAAATATACGTATGGTCGGCATTTGGATATGTTGTATTTTCATACATATTTCTTTCCTATGCAACTGGTTAAAAGTAATGAATATAACATTGTAGTTGAATTGTACCTTGCCTCAGATATACTTAAGCCATTTATTGTTGAATAAAATTGTGGACATTTAAGTCACATTTTGAAGGGGGCTTTGTATAGGTGCTATGGTCAAATGAGACCCTATAATTATAAAATTCATGAGAGTCATCAAGGCTAGTATAGCACTTGGTCTTGCAGCTTTTTGTTGAGATACGAGTATATTAAACATAATTTTGAATTTAAAAGCCCTATTCGTCGGGTTGGGTGCTAGGTGAAATAATGGATAATTTGAATTATCTTCAAATTTGCGACCTGTAGTTTGATTACAAGGTTTATAAGCCCTATTCAGGTGTTCAGTTGTATGGGGGCTAGGTGAAATAATGGACCGATGTTAACCATTTTCAATAGGCTTTATCTCCGGTACCATAGAAGATCATGTACCAAATTTCATTGAATTATCATCAAAATTGCGACCTGTAGTTTGATTGCAAGGTTTACATGGACGGACAGACGGACGGACGGACATAGCTAAATGGACTCAGAAAATGATTCTAAGCCGATTAGTATACTTTAAGATGGTTATAGGACCAATATTATTTTGCGTTACAAACATCAGCACAAACCCAATATATCCTCCCCACTAAAGTGGTGTAGGGTATAGTGAATAATATAATGTAAATATAATAAGTATCTTTTGAGTATACGTATACGTATTTCACCAAGGCGAATTCAGATATGGTGGTGGCAGTTCGGCAACAACAAAATTTTCCAAGTAATTTGTTTTTAAATTTGGTACGCACTGATGTCAAAAATAATAATTGCGGCGACTCCATTTAATGAAAATGTTTTGTAAAATTTTTATATTTTATAAAAAATACACATAAAAATATTAAAATTTGTGAAGATATTATACCCTGAGTGGAAGAATGTTTGTTCCAAATGAAAAATTCTACTCCGGCAGAATAATTTTGCAAAACTTAAGTTTGTGACCAAAATTGTGTAAAATTAATATTTTTGGAAAAAATAAACATAAACATTTATGGAAAAATTATATACCGAATGAAAGAATCTTTGTTGTACTCCGGCGGAGTAATTTTTAAGATTTACACGTTGTAGTCAGCTACCGCCGGACGGGTAAATACCTCGTATGGATTTTGTTATAAAAAGCGTTCCGGAACAGAATTTTGTTAGTTAATCACATTATATTCACAGAGTAAATATAAAACAATTTATTATTTTTTTTACATCTGAAAATTTGACCATAACGACGAAGACGGCTGCCGCCGGTCAGGTAAATATCTCATGTGTGTTCTTTATATAAAACTAGCTATACCCAGTGTGCTTTGCTACCCTAAAAGCAATATAAATAAAAAATCTTCTTAATAATTTTGAAGATTCTAACTGTAATGTTTTGCAGAGATACATTTTTTCCGAACGTTAATTAAGATTTTAATTTAATCGATGACAAATTAAAAAAAAAACTAATATTTTCCCATATATACGAAATTTTGTATTTAATTCATGTAGCGGGTGCCAAGAAACCATTCAAAGTCCGCCCGTTATTCTCTAAATGTTCACATTAATGTCAAAGTTCTTCAATTAATATTTGAAGATGAATATTTAAATTCTTAGTGCAAAATTTGAAGAATTTAGTTCTATTAGTTTCCCAGATAAACCAATTTTTGTATTTTATTAATATGGGAGGTGCTGCTCCCCTCATGGGTTGTCCGCCAATTTATTTCCCAAAATGGTTACATGGATGTTAAAGTTACTCATGGAAATTTTTAATATTCTAACTATAATAGTTTCCAAGATAAGCGAATTTTTGTATTTAATTTTTATGGGAGGTGCCACGCCCCCTAATGCTAATCCGCTCACTTTTTGCCTTAAATAATTATATTGATACTAATTATTATCTCAGAAATACTAATTTAATATCTTCTTAATATGGGCGTGGCACGTCGCCCATATGAAATTTCAACATAAAAAGTAGCCTATACATACAAACACACTTTCATTTTTATATATATAGATGTTCCGGAACAGATTTTTTTTATTAATCGCGTTAACTACTAAGTGTAAATATAAAATGAAAAACAATATTATTTAATTTGTTAACATTTAATAGAGAAAATATTATTGTTATATGTATTAAGTTTGTACATGCGTACCAATTATTCATTACTTATATAAGAAAAATATTTGTTTACAAAATGCTTGGTATTTTCAGATTTTTTTACATAAATTATTCAACAACTAACGAAATTTTTCTCTGATTTAATGGACATTTTTAAATATAAAAACGTAAACAATAACAAACTCTGACTTCAGGCCGTACCAGTCAGGTGAAGAAGAAAATAATCAGCTGAATGAATAACACCACCTTATCTGAATTCGCCTTAGTATTTCACCAATGCAATAGCAAATAATAAAACAAAAATTAATGAAATGATGTGTATTCGTAAACATGATTATTACCTACTTCGCATATTTTTATTAAGGGTTAAAATATATTGTTTCGATAAATTTTTAAGACCCTTTTTATACCCACCATCAAAAAGATGGAGGGTATATTGTTTTTGTCATTCCGTTTGTAACACATCGTAATATTGGTCACAGACCCACAAAAGTATATATTCTGGGTCCCTATTAAATTCTAAGACGATCTAGCCATGTCTGTCTGTCTGTCTGTCTGTTGAAAGCACGATAGAGTCCGAACGAGAAGAGCTAAGGAGCTGAAATTTTGCATAAATATTGATGCAGTTTGTTTAGTATTGAAAATGGGCCATGTTTTCGCATAGCCTCCATACAAGTGGCCACCCGAAAAACATTGTAAGCAGTCATATATGATTTAAAAACATAAGTATTTTTAAACATAAGTATTTCCCTACCAAATTTTTCGAGAATCGATCCATAATTGACCCTACCCCCATATAAGGGCCCTTCCAGAAAACGACTATAACGGTCATAACTTGCTTCAAAATGATATCAATGCAATGAAATTCGACATGTAAACATTTTAGGTGAACATACATAAATATCTGCTATTTTTCACTTTTGTTTTTGAATTGTATTTGTTAATCATCATTTATTGCTATTTTTAAATAAAAAAAAAAGACCGTAATAAATTTCAAATTCTTAGAATTTACATGCGATGCACCACGTGTTAACTTTCCTTTCAAAAAGAACATTCTCATTACATTGCCTTTTTCTCCTTATTTATATTTTTATTTACACGTCTTTGTGCATTTTCGCACGCAACTACTTAAAGTACACGGTGTAAAGCATCAAGTCCTCAATACTCGTTCTGTCGTTTGGGTATTCATGCTCAAATGTTGGAATAAAATAAATTCTCAACATATTCCTTGTTTTTATTAATTTGAGATCATACACACAAGCTAGCTATGCTTTTGAATAGTGTATAAGAGCATACATGTTTGATATGTGCATTGGATATACTTATTAATGGGATTCATGAAACACGTGAGTTAACTTGCACATTTGCACAAATGGCTAACCTTAACCTAAAATTTGTTATATATATATATACTTACCTTAATCCTATATAATAAATACTTACCTGTTATGGCTCAATAAACACATATATACGCTTTATAACGTTTTTGAAAAATCCCAAATCCTTCTTATTTACCTAATTCCTTATTCCCGCGTAAGTAAACCCACACTACCTATCTCCCTCTAATCCCAAAATAAACATTGGTCCAATCGAGCCTTTAAAAAAGAAACGGCTACATTAATAATAAAAAATACAGTCCACAAAAATAAAGCTGAAAAGAAAATAAGCTTAAACAAGTTAGAGTGCTATATTCGGCTATGCCGAATCTTAAATACCCTCCACCAGCAAGCTACTTTTTATTAAAACTCATTTAAATATCTAATTTTCAGATAACTTGGCAAAATTTTTGTTTCCGTATTGACGGTACTAACATTAATGCATATGTCAAACTAATTTTAATAAGGTCGAGAAAAATATATATTAATTCCCTAGAATGATTTATATATACAAAATACACATTTATGTCGAATTTTATCCCGATAACTTTGATTGTCAATGTGCATTTGACTAATTTTCGGAAATGGTCCTTATATGGGAATTGTGACCAATTATCGACCGAAAAGGAAAAAAAAATTTCATATAATGATTTATATGCCAAAAAAAAAATCAATCCGAATTTTACTATAATAGATTTACTAATTAATGAAATATGTGCGTTTAGGTGATTTTCGGAAGTGCTTTATATGTATACGAGCTATGACCTTACACAAAACATATTTTTGTCGAATTTTATCAAGATATCTTTATTTGATAATGAAATATGTGCGCTCAAGTGATTTTTTTGAAGTGGACCTTATATAGCAGCTATTACCATATATGGACCAATCCGGAAAATTTTGGAAGAGTGATTCATATAAAGATAAAACATATTTGTGCCGAATTTTATCTAGATAACTTTATTTAACAATTAAATATGTGCGTTTAAGTGTTTTTCGGAACTGGGACTTATATGGGAGCTATGACCAATAATGGACCAATCCAGAAAAAAGTGGTAGAATGATTTATATGCACACAAAATATATTCAAGTCGAATTTTATCCTTATATTTTTAGAATTTAATAAAATATATGCGTTTAAGTGATTTTCGGAAGTAGACTTTATATGGGAGTTATGGCCAATTATGAGCCTATCCGGAAAAAAAATTCGTAGAGTGACTCATATAAAGACAAAACATATTTGTGTCGAATTTTATCAAGATAGCTTTATTTGACAATGTGCTTTTAAGTGATTTTCGGATGTGGGCTTTATATGGGAGTTATGACCAATATTGGACCGATCCGTAAAAAATTATGTGGAATGATTTGAATGTACACAAAACATATTTTTGTCGAATTTTATCACGATAGCTTTAATTGACAATGAAATATGTGCTTTTAAGTGATTTTCGGAAGTGGGCCTTATATGGGAGCTATGACGAATAATGGACCGATCCTTAAAAAAATTTGTAGAATGATTTGTATGTATACAACACATACTTGTGTCGAATTGTATCCCGATAGCTTTATTATTCAATGAAATATATCCATTTAAGTGATTTTCGGAAGTAGGCCTTATATGGGAACTATGACCAATAATGGACCGATCCGTAAAAAAAAATGTAGAGAGATTCATATTTAGACAAAACATATTTGTGTCGAATTTTATCCCGATAGCTTTATAATTCAATGAAATATATTAGTTTAAGTGATTTTCGGAAGTGGACTTTATATGGGAGCTATGACCAATTAAGGGCCTAGCCGGACAAAAAATTTCGTAGAGTGATTCATATTTAGACTAAACATATTTGTGTCGAATTTTTCAAGATAGCTTTATTTGACAATGAAATATGAGCTTTTAAATGATTTTCGGAAGTGGGCCTTATATGGGAGCTATGACCAATAATGGACCGATCCGTAAAAAATTTGGTAGATTGATTTGTATGTACACAAAACATATTTAACTCGAATTTTATCACAATAGCTATATTCATCAATGAAATATATACGTTTAGGTGATTTTCGGAAGTGGACCTTATATGGGAGCTATGACCAATTGTGGACCGACTGAGATCTACGTTGACTGTATGATTTCTGTTCGTATTATATATGTGTTGATACCGATATATTTGAGGGAGTTATTAACGATAAACTAATTTCCGGGAATATATACCTTTGTATGGGGGCTATGGGAAATATTCGATCGATTGTAAAGATATTGAACATAATTGATCACAGGCATAAAAAAAGAATGCGTGACAAAATTCATCGAAATATCTTTGGTAGTTTCTGAGAAAACTTCAAAAGAATGTTGAAACGTAATTTTTTTCGAGGTAGTCTGAAATTTTTACTCATAACTTTTTACGTTGTGAACCGATTTTGCTGATTTTCAATATCAAACTGTTTTAATGTGAGCGTGTTTTACACAGACAGACAGACGGACATAGCTAAATCGACTCAGAATTTGATAAGGACCCAGAATATATATACTTTGTTGGGTCTTAGATGAATATTTCTTGGTGTTACACACGGAACGACAAACTTATATATACCCTCTATCACCACTGATGGTGGTGGAGGGTATAAAAATGAAAAGTGTGAAGTGAAAAAGTGTTGAAAGTAATCAAAGTGTATGTGAAAAATTAAAAAATATAAAATAAAACCCACCCTTAAAGAAAACTTAAAAATAAAAATACAATACTTAAAGCCAGTGTTGAAATTAAAAAATAATAATACCCTACAAACAAAACATAATATAAACTAAAAACAAACAAAATTGTGTAAAAAATATTAAACAAAAAGAAAACAAAGTGTAAATAGAACAAAAAATTATAAAGACAATAAAAAGTTACAACAAATAAACAAAAAACACAAACACAACAAAAAAAAAAAAAAAAACAGTGGAGACAGAAAAATATAAAACACATTAAAAATAAAACCAGATATTATTAACAAAAAGCACACAACAAAATTACAGTGAAACCCAAAATATTGTTTTTTAAAATATAAAAAATACCCACATACCCTATCTAATATATTTGTTAAATAATATAACATTTTATTAATAAAATAAAAAATTACACGAAATACATACACAAATAACATTTAAACAATAATATTTAAATCATTATTTAAAAGTACATATATTTAAAAACAAACTATTTTATTTAAACAATTATAAACAATATTAAAAAATAAAACAACATCACTGTAGTTTTAAAAATATTAAAAAACATTGATACCCAAAAATAAATAAGAAATAAAATACACATAAAACATATACACACGCTTAAACATAGAGACACAGCTTACATATTACAACAACAACACTACACACAAGATCAACACACTTCATAGCGGGAAGAAGGTGTGAAGAAGAATTGACCCTGCCAGCAAATTTGAGTTTAATTTTGGATAAATGAACTAAATTCACACTATTTAGGCTCAACTTCATGTTTCTCAGTGCTAAATAAAAATATTTACAAAAACAAAATAATTTGTTTTCTAATTTTTATCCCATTTTTGTAAAATTTAAGTTCGATCTAATATACCAAAAATAAACGTAAATGATAATAATTAGATAGAATAAAAATGTATAAAAAGAACATTTAATTACTAACAAGATAATTTAAGACAGAATTAATGTTGCTCTCAAAATTTAAAAGAAAAAGTGTTTGTATATTTCAGTAAATATATTAAGTTTATAGTGATCAGTTGTGTGAATAGTAACACATTGTGAAATTTTGTAATGATTTTATTTAAAATTTAATATATAAAAAATAAAATTAATATATAATAAACATAAGTGAGAGATTAGTGAGTATAAACAATTTTAATGCCCCTATTATGGTTTACAACTCAACTCTTCTTTAGTTGAAATTTTGCTCTTTGGTATTATCGATAACAACTTAAAATTTAAAGTTGAAATTTATTACAACTTTTTTGAAAAAAATTACAACTTATCAAAAGCAGTTGTAACAAATTACAACTCAATTGTTTAGAATAAATTTTTAAAATAAAACAAAGTAAAGTTTTTTTTTAAACATTTTTTTTTAAATTTCATTAATCACTGATTTCAAGCGAATTTACAATAAAAAGATGTTCAATACATTTGTCATTTACGAAAAACAGAAATTCATAAACTTTTCACTTAATTTTATGACAAAAAAGCACTTTTTAGGTTGGCAACATCAACACAATTACAACTGAAATTGGTTGTAATTCATAATACCAAATATAAGTTGAGTTGTTCTAAAGTTGAGTTGTTTCAATTTCAACTCAACTGAGTTGAGTTGTAAACCATAATAGGGGCATAAATTATTCATAAAGTAAGAGAAATAAAGAAAATGTATATAAAGTCGCTTTTACTACATAAAATAGTGTAAAATTAGATAAATTTCCAGTTTCCCTATTGCTATGTCAAAACTGGAAATTTTACTAATTTTACGCACTTTTTTGCTATGACTTAAAACTGAAACGAAAACGACTCACTAAGTAAGTATTAAACAGGAGGAACAGTTTCTTACCAACGCGGTCACTTTTCTTCCTTTCAAATTGTGCAATATTAGATGTTTTTTAGATATTTTTAACTACACGTTGTTACGTTATGGATACTATTTAGATAGCAATTGTTTGCAGGATGACAACACAAGAAATTTTTTTTGGTTTTTCTCTTGTGAAGGTTTGTACCCTACCCCCAGCAAACAAGGTAAGTGTATTTTTTTACATGTTACTAAATATTTTTTAAATTTCCATTTTTTGTAATAAATTAACATTATTTAGCAGGCAATACAATATTAAAATATTTTCCAATTATATACCCACTCACCCACCCTATTAAAAGCTTTTTTGGAAATATTTTTATATATTGCTTGATTAAGCTAATATTACCACCCGAATTGTGTAGCGTACCCATACACACATAAAATACCCTGTCGGAAATTTAAGTTTGCTGTTACAAATTTGTTTTGTAGATTTTTAAAATAAATTAACCCAATATGTCCGATTTAAAATCTAATGCGATATATCCAAATGGATTTGGAGTCTTTTGA